TTCCAAATTAGGTAGAGAACCCTAATTCTAGCCGCTCTTTTTCATACGAACTACTCCGATCCGTATTTTATTAAAAACAAAGTATTAAAAGATCATTATAATATAAACGAGTACCTTGATAAGTTGTGGAGCCAATTAGATAATGAGATCGAGTTGGAACTCCACTAGATTAATATAACAATCAACTTGTATTTCATACAAATATACATTATAAAGTTGCAACTTGACTTATTTATAACCTTTACCTTTTGTCATTTAAGTCTAAAAAGTTCTCAAATCTCAACCTTCACCCAAAAACTCTTTGAATTTGAAGGTGGATAATGTTGTAATTCCACATAGAATCGTCACTCTTTCTTATTTTTGTCATATATCATTGGATGTTACTAATTTGTTGCGTCACTTTAGAATAACAATTTAATTTAGTTGTGTTAGGATATCCTCATCTTCTTAATTAATCAAGTTAATTATGATTAGGTCATGTCTTAGCTTGAACTCTCATACTTGGATTTTGTATGGAATATGTTTCTCTTATTGGCTAAATACATGCCTTTTAAACGAACGGTGCCACGTGACACTCTTCAAAAAATATGCGCCATGTCACTATTCAATGTATATGCGCCACATAAGGTTGCCACTTCTCATTTAAGAAAATAAAATATGCTTTGAGCTAGATTCGAACCCATAAACATAAAGATAATACATTTATCATCTCAACCAACTCTTATTAATGTTTCAAATTTTACATAATATTATATATTCCTTTCATTTATTAAGTAAATTAGAAGTACTATAATTCATTTATTTTTCACAAGATTAGAATATAAATACATATGAGGTAAGAAAAAAAATTGACATCTGAGACAACGCCCGAACCACACATTAACTATACAAACAGTTGAACATAATTATAAAATTAAAGAAGTATACAAACTAGAAACGAGGGGCATCGCCCAGGACACACACTGGTTACTATATTAGAACATGTCATATCGCATGACATCAAAAGATTTATACTAATAGTATGGATGAATAATGAATTCGTTGATTGAAAAGATGGTACTTGATATATTATAGTCCATGTAGTTGTTAACATAATTAATGCTCGTCTTTGCTATATTATAATTAATGTTTCTTGCCGTATCATTTGGGAATGTGATAATCGGTTTTTGTTTTTGTATCTAAACTAGTTGGTGGCCCGGGCGTTGCCCCGAGTCATTGCATTACATGTTTTATATAAAGAATGAGTTAAGCGAATTGTTAAATTATGGAGTTCTTTTTCTAAATGTATAGGAGCGAGATGAGATAGTATTTGTATTGGATCAATGAACTTAAGCTAAGAATTAAGCTAAGCCAATAGTTACCCCTCCCTTCACTCTTAAGAGGTTAATAGCTTCACCCTACAACAATTATAACAGACTACTATACCCTTGCATGCTCATCATCATGTATATGGATGATAATTGCTTACCTTTTCACTCTTGCATTGGTTGTTTAGACCCTCCTTTTGTTGATCTCTATGCAATCTTCTTCTCTATAACAACACCCACAAAAATACTACAAAAGTATATCAATCGTTCTCTTGATGATCTCTCTCCTCCAATAGTGGAAGCTGATATATTCTAATTTAGAATATAGGGGTGATTAGTAATGAAATATTTGGTAGAAATGGATGATTTATATAATTAAAAGGGTTTAGTGACATTAATGAAATAATTAATTGAGTTTGGAATTGGTGATGTTATTGATGATATGTTAAAACTTACAGAAAAAAGACCAAGAATCATTACTTCGTATGAAGGTGAAAAGTTGAAAATATTTTCAGATTTTATTTTTGGTCGGTTACAAACTTAATTAGTATGACAATAAATAATTAGCTACTCCATAGTTACAAACATATTTAGTATGAGAATAATAAATAGTTAGCTACTCCATCTATAATTATGGACAATGTCAGTTACAAATATATTTTGGGCCATTCATTAAGACTATTGAATTATTTAGCGTAAATCTAAGTAAAAATTAGATTTATGATTAATGAATCAAGTAATGACTTGTCGGTGGTAAAAATTGTTATTGTTATCACACTGATATGTAATTGCTTATGTGACACTTTGTAAATTAAAAAAGTACACATGACAAAATGATACTCCTTGGCTTGGAGTTTTAATAATACTATTGATAGACTAATAAAAACTTGTCAAAGTAGAATAATTTTCTAAGTAAGATGATAATTGGGTGTTTGAAAAGACAAGGACAAGCATGAGGAAATTGATAAGGTCACCTCTCCAAGTGAATAACAATGAAAGTCGTAGCAATAGATTTATAGCTAGTGTCAAAACCATTTTCCCACACCTAATCATATCAATTATTTATAAGGCCGTTTGATAATTTTTTGCCGTTGCAAAAAAAATACTTACTTTAAATTTTGTAATACTTGAGAATGACACTATTTTTAGACAAGGATAGAGAAGATTCACCATTTCACTCACTACGAGTACTTACTACCCATCTATTTTTATCCACCCTGCTCTCATTCACTCCATGAAATATGATATTTTTGTTTTTGGTTAGTGAAATTTAAGTTATGGAAACATTGGTTTTAGAATAAATTTTCTTTTTTTTGTTATGCTTGCAGATATTTTGGGTGTTTGGACGTTGACTTTGTATGATTTATTTTTTGTATTTGGAACTGTAATTAAATTTGGGATGTCATTGTGTAAGTGAGTGGTTCGTACTGTGTAAAATAGTGGTGATTTTGTTTCAATATTGGTGTAGATCTTGCAAATCTTTGTTAATGTCATCGATTAGACCATTGTCGTATGGTGTTTTTTATAGGACGATTTTCTTTCAATATACGTAGTAATTAGTTTTTTATGAAGTAACTTGTAAAAATCTTCACTAGTTTAACGTAGCATTTCTTTTCGATTAGGCCATTGAATATATTAAGTACGAGGATTAGTTTTGTAAAAAGAGATAATTGACCAGAATGACGTTAATTCATTGTATTGCTTGTATAAGGTGTGGTGGCTCTTGTGTAATTGATTCATTGGTTTATAGTGTTTGAATTATGCAACTTATTCATGTTAAGGGAGATAATGCTTTTGACTTTGTTTGTGGCATATTAATGTAATGGTTTTGCATGTTTTGATGAGCTATTTAATCCCGTTTTTTTTGCATAAGTCAATATGATTTGAGTAATGGTACATAAACATAGTGGCTGATTGTGATGGTTGGATTGACCCATAATGTGAGGGTGGTGATAAGGGAGGTTTATGGATGGCCTACCTCATCCATTTTATGGTTCAAGTGATTGTAGCTAAATCTATTTTGCTGTAGAGTCCTATTAAAAATGTTAAGAAGAGATATTGTGGTGTGTTTTGTCACAATTGAATTAAAGAATTAATCATGGAGCATTAGTTAACCATTAGAGAGGCATTGAAATTTTGTTTACAATGGAGCATTAATTATTGGCTTTTGACTATTTTACTAATTTTGGAGTTTGTGTAACAGCATATGAGATTTTATTATTGAAATAAATGATTACCATGATGAGTTCTTTTCAACGTAATTTAACATATAATTAGCCTTTTGACCCGTGTAATGCACAAGTAGTTGAAAGTAAAATCAAAATACAAACTATACACTGAGTATGTTTTCTCTCTATACATTTATTGAATAGAAAATGAAAAGTTAGAAAGGGAAATAATAGAAATGAATGTTGAACTATACCAATTAAAGATAATTATCATGAGGAATGTGAAAAAAAAAATACTAAGAAAATAAAATTACAAAACACCCTCATAAAGAAAAAAATACAACAAAGTCTCTAATATATATTAAAATTTGATTTTAAAATAACTTCAACAATTAAATCGAGGGACTAGTGAATATTAGTTCGGTTAATTTCATACCTATCCCTTTTTAAAAACTGACATTAATTGTGAGCCATAACTAGTGTGTCAACCAAATTTTTTTGAAGATGGATCATTAAATAGGTCTTGGTAGCATAGGCTCAACTTATATAAATGTTGATTTAGTGTCTTGACGACCCATTCAAAGGGTGTGAAAAATCCTTTTGAATTTTCAAATTTGTCATTGATATTCACTTATAATAATATTATGTACACATCAAAAATTACTAGCTATATTTCTACTTTTGAATAAGTTTAGCTGTTTCCAAAGAAATCATTCATATTTTATACTCTTTCTCATTCGAAAAAGGATTGGTGTACAAATTTGCACAAAGAAATAATTTTGTAATAATAAATCATGTTAGGTTTTTTGAGTGCACAGCGGAAGAAAATTAAAGATGGAGAAATTGAGAAATGGTCGTGGGAAGAATAAATAATTTTGGATTAATGTTTGCACCATTTAACCCAAAAGACTCTCATATAAAGTAGGCCCATGGTGCAAACAAAAGGAGACTGGGGGAGTAGTAAAGAGGAATAGTGGAACACCACAATAATTTAATGTGAAAAAACTATCTTAATAGAGGTAAAAAAAAAAAAAAAGCCACAAATGTCGATTATATGAAAATAGGAGAGCACAAGGTACCCTAAAATTAGGAGTGAGTATTGAGTAGAATTAGTACAATAATAACTCTCAGTATAAGGAATAAACTCACAAATCGTTTAGGGAGGTGCGGTATGTAGGAAGGCTAGTATTGAGTGACTTCTCTGTGTATTCCAGGATTGAATGCCCATGAACTATATACTAGTATTTATAGTTGTAGATGGAGCTTAAAAAAAATGGTTGAAAAATTCTAGAATTTCCTTTTTCATTCTTGTAGCCATAATTTTCTAGAATGTTCATGAACCATATCTTCTAGTTGCTTCTTACGTTAAGAATTCTCTAGAACGTTTAAGTAGATAACTCTAGAGAAATTATGAGCAATTACTAACTTTGCTGATTTTTCCGGAAGCTTTTAGAATACGTACAAATACTACACTAAAACAATGGGCCTCTAAAACTTGGGCCACACCCAAAAAATCACAAATATATATAGAATAAAACATACTTATAGAATTGAGTCACTTTTAAGAAAATGTAATAGATCAATTGCTGGCTCACATTAACAGCATGCTCAATATGTCATTTTATTATGGAACACCTTACACCTATATCTATTCTTTCAGAATTCTTACTCTTAAAACTATACTATTAGACAGTTTACTCTGTATATCTGGTGTCAATAGTTATACAACATCAAAATGCCAGCCAAGGATCACTGACCAACTCCATAGGAGTCTTAGGACCATTGACCACCCTACAATTCGTCCGAACCTCGCCAGGCCGGCCTGACTGTAGATCACCCATCTTTAACATACCCTTCACAAAGGCATCAAAAAATGCACCCTGATCTTCACTATATTTCACCACCCATTTCCTTGTTTCCTCGAATGTATAAAGTGTTTCATCTGAATTCAGGAACCCTTTTCCTGCAACTAAGTCCTTAAAGTACTGATTATCAAAGAGTATAGGAGTAGCATCCAAGTTACCAGTCACATTCTCATCTCCACCAACAGGGCACAACTTATCCAACTCCATCCTGTAACGAGGATCGATTGCAGGATCAGGTTTTCCGGTCCCTGATTGATTGTAAAGGCGGAAGGTGATTGAGAAGCATCGACCTTTGCCAATGGAGTGAGACCCTGAGAGGGCCACAAGGTCCTCGGTTGAGAGGTTGAACTTCGCAAAGAGGTCTATTAAGGCACTGGCATTGGCTCTTGGACTTGGCATAATGGCGTCTGAGTCCTCTTGGCTTGCAGTTAAACTGTCCTTTCTTCCTAATCTCACCTCCCAATCTGGCCCTCCACTCTGTGTAAATCAACGGCAAAGCTCAGTTATTTGGTTTTAAAAGGACTTTCTCGAAATTGTACATGCCAATTTTCATACATACAAGTATTTCACACTCGCAAAACAAATTCTCAAATGCAAGAACAGAAAGGGAGATGGTAATGTACAGCCATACTAGTCATGCCCTGTGAACAGACTCTTGAACGCGTCCAGGGACATTCTTTTTTTGTGATTTCATATGCATTACAATTAGAATGAGTTATTTTAAAGAAAGAGCCCATATATGCATGACTTATACTTCTCCAAATACGAATTAGACCGAGTATGCACTCTTTACAAGCTCTACTCAATCTTACAGACTTACAGTACAGTAGTTAGCTTAGCAATCTAACGAAAAACCTTTGATTTCTTAGGCTCCTAGCTTAACATTCTTGTGGAAACAAGCTAGATGTATATCATGTAATGGCACATGTTTGATATATCATTATACACCATTTAAAGTATCGAGTATTATCTAATGTTTACATTAAATTAGAATAATCATACTGTTTTGTTAACATGACAATTTTGAATACATAAATGAATGGTGGATGATTAACAAAAACTTTCCAAAAGTAATTAGTGTTCTTTATTTAGTAAGATGCTTTGTGAATTATAATCGCACCTTGTTTCATACGTTATCTTCTCATCTACCACTTCTTTATTCGAGCACCACAACATCAATTTGTATGTAGGAGCACTTTTAAAGAAAGTTCGAAAAAAAACAACAGTACAAGATAACTATGAATAATCTACTAAATGGCCATCAAAGTCACTTTTCTTTCATAGGGGTCCTTTTCATATTAATCAATCAATAAGGTAGATGTATTAGTACAACTTTTGACTCTTTCACATGAATAACATCTAGTACTGCTTTGTTCCAACACTAGAGAAACATACAATTACGCAAGTGTGTGTGTGTCTTTTTCTGGAATTTATTGACCCCTTAAAGTACAGTCCTTAGGAAGGGAAACTCGGCCATTTAGCGAGATGATTAGGCAATTACTCGTAATCCTTAGTTGGGACTACATTTCTACCATTGAGCTCCCACTTGATTCTTCTTCTAACCTTAACATTTTTACTTGGTTTAGACTCTTTCATACAAACACACAAACAGATAGAATAAACATACACGGTAAATTGTCTTCTTGTTTGCTTAAATTCCGGCTTATTACAGACTATTAAACAAGGCTTTCAATGTGGATGTACGTATCTAAGTCATGTAACACTTCTTTTTTTATTTGTCAAATACACTTAGTCGTCTATATACAGCATTTTCAATTGTGTAACAATTTCCTAGCAATATGCTACCTGACTACCTCCATCTTATATTAGCGTTATATATCAATGCTGATCAAAATAACTTACCTAATTGATTTTACTTAATTAGGAGTATTAAATTGAAACCAATGTAACAGTAACAAGTAATTAAATGAGGAAAGTACACGAAATTTTTACCAAAGCAACGGCATCTCTAGCAGCCATGACAACGACATCAGCACAAGAAACAACTCCGGGACAGATATTTTCCACAGCTGTTTTAATTTCATCAATTACTTCAAATGACCTCAGCGAGTTTATATTTGAAAGGGCCAATTTCTCCCCTAGCATTGTTGGTGTGTCATCTAATAGCAACGACCCATCGCATCCCTACATTAATTTACCAAAAATAATTTCTATTATAAGACGTACCAAAATTATTTACAATGTACAAGTAGTAAAATAAGACACCGGATTTTTAAAATGTGACATAAAATTTAAGAAAAAAAAAACATACGATCAAGTATAAGATGAGACATAAAATGAGACACGGGTTTAAGAAAAGGGACTTACATTAACAAAACAATCATGAAACTGCAACCTCATGACTGAAGCCGCGCTTCGGGTTTCATTGATCATGGCCTTATGTAGGACCTCTCGAACCGTAGATTCGGCTTTCGGGCAAGTGCTGGCGTAGAATCCAGGCACAAGTTGAGCCTCTCCGGTGGTTAAGAAGAGAAAAAGGAGAGAGAAAATAGGGATGATCATTTTTTGGACAACTCAAAACCTGTTGAATGAATATGAGAATAGTCAAAAACACTTGCTTCTAGTATTGAGAAATCTGGAAATCCAGATTTAGAGAGAGAAATCTATGGAAGTTTTTTTTTTCCCTTAAAATATAAGCAATCATCTATTTTACAGTAAGGAAAAAGCAAGGGGTTTATAAATAAACTATGCAAAAGGACCACCATTATAATTATAATAAAACATATATACATGAGCTAATAAGTACAAATAATAGAAAAAAATTAAGTAACCATTCTTTTTATGTCAGCTTAATAAAATATGATCGTTAAGTTTAATTAAAAAGTAATTAAACTGAGTATATAATCTCAATTGTTTGATATGATACCAAAAAATATGACATAATATTTAAAATTTCTGTAAAATCCAAACCCAGCAAAGAATGTTAATTTTACAGAATAATTCAAAATTGGAGTATTTAATCATGTAAGAAATTAAAAGAGTGATTAAGATAAATTAAGCAAACTAAGATAAAAGCATGAAAATAATAAAGTGATTAAGAGAAAGAGAAAGGGTATAGAAGATACCAGAGAAGGAAAAATAGAAGAGATATTTGGGTAGGAAAGAGGGGTAATTTGGTAATTTGCGATTGTTGGAATTGAGGGAGCTAAAGTGGAGAGGTGGGTGGAGACTGGGAGTAGAATGTTAGGAGGAAGCTAAGAGATAGAGTAAGATCTTTTTGGTCCTAAAATTAGAAATAAAATAATATTAAGAATAAATAAATTTAAAAATAGATACAATTAAAATTGTTTAGTAATTGAGTTATTGTGTGTAGTCACTTGCTAACTAGCAGAATGAGAATAAGGCCTTGTTCACTTCACCTTAAATAATTAATATTCAGTACAAATAATTTCATTTAAATAAAAATAAGTTCAGTTTAGTAAAAATAATTTCACTTCAGTAAAATTAATTTTAATTCAGTAAAAATAATTTCAGTTCAATAGAATTCAGTAATTGTAAATTGAAGAAGAATATAATAAAAAAAATCAGTAAAAATAATTTCAGTTCATTTCAGTTAAGTAAAAATAATTTAAATTCAGCAAAAATAATTTCGGTTCAGTAAAAATAACTTCAGTTCAGCAAAAATAAGTTGAAGTAAACTGGGCCTAAGTAGTTATCCACTAATGCTATTTGAACTGAAACTCAATGTACTTGTAATTCGAAGAATATTGAGTCCTAGAAATGTGAAATCACTATGGGATACAAATATTATTTAGATCAAAATCATAAAGCAATAAAATAACAATTTAAGACCAAAATATAATGTAGAATTAGTTTATTTATTAACACTTTAATCAAATGTATAAAGTGACAGGGTATTCTAAACCGACACTGGAATCCAGTGGTTGTTAAAAGCTTGTAACAAATTCCAAATTCAGTTCCAATTTTGAGGAATTGGTTGCAACAACTTTCAATTTCGATTTAGAGATTTTTGATAAGGTACCACGTGTTGCTCACCCCGTGGTAAACAGTAATCATTGATGAATTATCAAATATGGTAGATTGTTTAAGTAAACAAAAATGTAATTGTTCAAATTACTCTAGAAAGATTAGAACAAAAGGGATTTTGGGGAATAAGATTCCTTGCTTAATTTCTTAGGAATTTCCTAAACATGCTTACTCTACAAGTCAACAACGAGAGAAAGTTTCCATAGGAAATTTACCAATCGCAGGTTTGGGTGGGAGGGGATATCATTTACATTTTATGAGAAGTGTAAATTCTTAGGAAGTTTAATTTCCTCCATCTCACCAAATACACTGACCTATTTTGCATTTTCAAATAATTCACAATTTTTTTTTTATAATTATAAATGTTAACCAATTAATTTTACTTTAAGGATTTGTTCTTCAACTTATTTAAATTATATTCTGTAAAAAATAATTTATGTTCAACGAATGCTCAGTAAAAAAAATAAGATTTAATTAGTAAAAATAATTTAAGCTCATTAAAAATAAAATGAAGATAATAAGGTCATATTGTCAACAATATAAAAAGCGTCTTAAGTGGCAATGACATTATATAAGACATTCAAACCTTATAGAGAGCTTCTATTAATTACTCCCGGTACAATAAGCAAAATAAGGGAGATAATTCAAAAAAAAAAAAAAAAAAAAAAAGTTACCCCTACAAAAATAGTCAAGTAAAGTTTCATATAAGAATGAATAAATGACAATAATGGTAATCATTGCTCACATAAAATCTTAAATTATAAACATGATTTTTTTCATCCTTATGTTTAATGTGGGAGCATTTACTGATACACACTTGTATCTAATAAAACATTATATTTTTTTATATTTATAAATATAAGGGCTAGTCTGTTACATCTATTTATATGTACTTTTTTTTTTTTTTTAAGGAACACTTATATGTACTTGTATCCTACATGGTTTGAAACTAGAAAAGGTGGCGATAATTGATGTCATGCTTACTACATAGTAACATTGATGATGGGTATAGAATAGAAGAAAGGTGATCTACTTTTTGTTGTTGTACAACAGGGCAGCAATTATACCTGATTGGCAAACAATTGTACATAAGGTGTTGTTTGGTTGACATGGGAAATGAGTTTTCATAGAAAATTATATTTTATGGGAAATAATTTTCCTTATCCATTTCCTAAGAATTAAGTTAAGTTTGTTTGGTTGATAATATAGGAATTTTGATTTTCCAGGAATTTATTTCCAATGTTTTATTAGTTAACTTAGATAATTTTTAAGTTAACAAATTTGGAGAGACAAAGAAAGTGATTAAATTATTAGTGATAATAATGCAAGTAGGCCCCACAATAATCATAGGAATTGTGACTTACCAAGGGGGGCTTGGTAATGGAAAGTGAAACTTCCCTTGGAATTTCTATTTCCTCCATTTTGATAAATTTGTGTCAACTAAAACACATGTTTTTTCCATTTTCTAGAAAAAAGAAATTTCCCATACTATTTGCCTCCAACCAAGCAACACCTAGATATGTTTATTTTGAGATGTTGTAATTTCTTAGTACTCTTGCATGAGATGCATTTGTGGGTGGCGAATGGCCCACTTGCCACTTGGTTTGTTGAATTGGTGGGTCCTAAGTTATTCATCTTTCATCACTTTTACTTGTCAACATCGGACTTTGGGCTCGTTTGGTTAATGTGGGAATTAAATTTCCGCAGGAACTTTTATTTCATGAGAAGTTATTTCTCTAATGAAATTCCTAGGAATTTACTAAACTAGTTTGGTTGGCAATGTGGGAATTTAAAAATCCCATGAATTTTAGTGAACGAGTGGGGAGGGGGGAAGGTAATTAACTTCCCATATTTTGTGGGTAGTTGAAATTCCCATAAAAATTTTCACTTTCTCTATTTTTTTCATTTGTGTGTAAACCAAACAAGTTTCCAACTCATAAAACCCCATGAATTTTCACTTCTCCCATTTTACATTGTCAACCAAACAAGTCCTTACTATCTCAACTTTAAAACTACTTGCTTCATTATCTTTAAAACCAAGATTTATGCAATTAAAAAGTATAGAGTGAAAATTAAGTGGATGAATGTGAATCCAACTCAATTGAAAAAATAAAAAAGTTGAGTGAAAAAAAATTCCTACAAAAGACAAGTAAGTCAATTAGTTCGCCCAAAAATGAAAAACAAGGAAATAAAATAAGGAAGAGGGAGAAATTTGAAATGCAAATTGAAATATACTTGTATAAGATGATCTTACTATATAAGATCATTTTACAAGTACTTAGTTCGTTACACTTAATGACTAATAATATGAGTATTGTTTAATAAATATTACTTTTGAATGAAAAAAGTTACAATATTAATCTATTATTAATTATTTATATTATAAGTTTTTAATCAAAAGTAACACCTTGTGATCAAACAATTGCTTACTAATTTGAGCTATTTTATATGACTTGTGGAGTTGTGGTCAATAATTATACGAAGTAAGTTTTAACCAATAACCACAAAGAGTGTAATAAGTAAAAAGAAAAAATAAATGTAAAACCATCACTAGATTCCATTCAATGGGCTAGCTGCTAGCAATCCAAATCCACAGAATTCAAAGCCCAATAACTACATCAGCCCAGCCCATTAACTTAAACCCCCTCACTTTTCCCAACTTCGTCCATTTCCATTTTCCGCTGCATCAACTGCAAAACCTCCCTTTCTCCATTTTCCAGCTTCACTTTCTCTCTCCTCCTTCTCACCAGAAACCACCATGGGAGGCAGAGGAAGGAGCCGCACTCAACGGAAACACTTCAAGCAAAGCCGAGATAACGTCTGGAAAAATGGCTCCAAATCCGACGCTTCCTCCGCCGCAGCCGTCGTTGACGGCGAGAACAACTCCGGCGACGCTGAAAGAAGAAGTAGGGAAAACTGGGAGCCATTGAAGACTCAGAACGCTGTTTTTGAAGATTATTATAAGGTTTTATTTCTGCTCTATTTTTTTTTGCTCGATTTTTGATAAATTGAATAATTATTAGTAATTAATTTGAAAATGAATGTTAATTTGGCTTATGATTGTTTATTCAACCAATACTACTGTAATCGGTATTTTTTTTTTAAAGAAATAGTTAGATTGTGTATTCAATTGGTTGTATATTTTTTGAATTTGGCAGGAGCAAGGGATTGTGGCGCCGGAAGAATGGGATGATTTTATGGAATGTCTGCGAAAGCCGCTACCGGCTGCTTTCCGAATCAATTCCAGGTGCTTTCATTTGATCTATTTTAGTTTTATATGATTTTATCTGGTTTAGGATTTAGCGGAGGTTTTGTAGCTGCTTCATTTTTGCATTTGATAGAATCAATGTTATTTGAATTCTTCTTTTGTTGTATATTGCGTGGCTATTGTTGTGTGTTAGAAGAAGATGGAATGTGTTTAGGCAGCTTGATGAACACCTTTACACCAATGTCGAGCTTTTCGAAGTGGTGATTGTAATTAAATTCAGAATCCGTTTATTATTGTTGAGTTTGAGTGAGGGTCTATTTTCTCATGGTAGCTTGATGACGATGTTTGACACAAGGTTGTCATATTATCAATAGAGATACGGAGTAGTGAATTACACAATCTTGTACTCGGCAAAGATTTGATATTGAAGTGATTTTCGTTAGGATGTAGATTTATCTGCCATTGAAGCTACAATGGTTAGATTCTTTGTCAGTTAAACTTGTGCACCATCTGATTATCTCATCGACGGGTGAGACTCATGGACTCAGTAACATTCTAAGTGGACAATGTTTTCTGAAGCTTGTCAAAGGCCTATCTGCTTCTTTTTATTGTTGTACAACCAGCCTGATAGAGTGATAGGCTGCCATTAATAAACAATTGAAGGAAAATAGAGAGACTCTGGATTTTCCAATTCCTGCTGCCGAGGAGCTGTAGGTGTGGAAAACCAATATGAAGGATTCCTCAAAAAAGGAGTGCGAGGAGAATGGGTAATAGCTGATAAGCTTATAGGATGGGCTATGGCGGTTATATTGGGAGGTGCTGGTTGGTAATGTAGGTTAGTATGAGGAAGTGAATGTTTGTGGAGGTGAGATTACAAAACCAAAATTGGTGGGGAACAAAGTGGAGAAGGTTATTTTATTTGTAAACATGTTACAATTGAAGAAATTGATTTAAATTAGTGGCTTAGATTTGTCTAAGTAAAATAATGTACTTCGTAGCTCCTATTAACCTTGAAATGAGCAGTGTTGGGAAACCCAATCCCAATCTATTCTGAGGGGTACGGTACCAGGAGTCATTTTTCATCATATCAATCAAATTAGCTGTGCTTCGCCTGCCTGCCCTTCATGTGTTACTGATTATTTTGATAAGAAACCTTGTATTTTTGGGCTCTTTAATTATATCTCATTGACCTCTTTTACTGACTCACAACAATATCCTCATTGATGAATTTCGCAGTAGCCAGTTCTGTATCGACATTCGCTCACAATTGGAGAATGATTTTGTCAAATCGCTTCAGTCTGAGGTTATTCTGTCCCATGCTTTTATTTTAGTTTATTTAATGATTCTACTGTAATGCATCATTGTTCATGGATAATTACTCAATATGGCTACAGTTTCTTGAACTTCCATGGTTTTTCCTCCTACTTAGTTCACTGGTGATGAAGCAGAAGCTCTAAGGCCATTGCCTTGGTATCCAGAGACTTTAGCCTGGCATTCGGAGTTTTCACGCAAACAGCTGAGGAAAACCCAGACCCTAGAGAGGTAAGCCTATATAATCTCTACAATATATTGATTTGAGTTTTTCTCCATAGGATGTCTCAAAGCTTGTCCATTTACCATGGGCATGTGTTAGTAACTGATTTGTTTTGATGTTTCTTGATCATATCTTCGAAGTGTTCCTTTATAAGTTTGCTTCACACACAGTAATATCGATATTGATATGTAGGATACCTATCGGATTGACTATCTCGTCATTATGTTTCCAGGTTCCACGAGTTCCTCAAGCTAGCTCATGAAATAGGAAACATAACAAGACAGGAGGCTGTCAGCATGGTGAGTTATATAGCATGCTTGCGAGTACTATATGCTCCTTCTTTTAATGAGTAATAGAAAGCACCCAAACTTTTCTGTTGGAACTTTTACTGCTAGTATTTTCAAAGATAATTCAGAATTGCGAAAATTGTGAAATTAAAAATCAGAAATGTACTTTTTGATATTAGTGCAAAGGTATAGATCTTACAATTGTTATCAATGTATTTTGAAAGAATTGTCAATCAAAGTTTGACCTTGAAATGTATAGCTATATAGGTGTGTTATATATTGAAACAGAGGGAGTACAATTATCAAACAATCTATACTGATTTTATTGTCACTTCTAAACAGGTACCTCCTCTTTTCCTTGATGTGCATCCAAACCATTTTGTACTTGACAGTAAGTATAAGACATGATGTTTCAAAGCATCTTTACACCCTTTTGGCAGCGTTTTTTTTTTTTTTTTTTTTTTTTAATAATCTTTATCATCTTAGTGTGCCTAGTTTACCTACTCACAATTTGGGGAGGAGCTAGCCTTCTGTATTTTGTTATTTAACTGCTTTTAAGTTTCCCCTCTTTTGCGGTTTTATGATGGATGTCATTCCTTCTTCTCAGTGTGTGCAGCCCCAGGATCAAAAACTTTCCAGTTACTTGAGATTATTCATCGTGCAAACGAACCTGGATCCTTACCAACCGGAATGGTAACTACTGTACATTCATTTGGTTTTGCATCAAAATCATGAAATGTTTGACAATACAACTGCTTCTTTCTATCTAATTGTGGCTGTTCTCTGTGTAGGTTGTTGCAAATGATGTCGATATTCAACGAAGCAATCTTCTGATTCATCAAACAAAGAGGATGTGCACTGCCAATTTGATAGTTACCAATCATGAAGCACAGGATTTCCCTGGCTGTCGGCTCAGCAAATTTCACCATTATTCTTCTGATATTCAATCTGAAAATGGATTGAGTATAAATCAGCTTGACTTTGATCGAGTCTTATGTGATGTACCTTGCAGCGGTGATGGTATTCTTCGGAAAGCCCCTGACATCTGGAGGAAATGGTAATTATTATTTCATTTTTCTTTTGTCTCTTTTATATCTTACAAGTTGCTCCATACTGCTGTTCAGTTTGATTAACATCATTTCCGTTATACCTTGTGCACATCTTTTGCAGGAATGTCGGTATGGGCAATGGTCTTCATTGCCTACAGCTTAAGATCGCTATGCGAGGTAGCTTTCTGAGATACATTCAGTTGAGATTATATTTTGTCTTGATCTTATAATTCAGATTTGATAAGTCTTCAATCATGGAAAACATGAAAGGACTAAATTATGATACTTACTTTGAAAGTTAACAGACCATAAACACATTGAGCATAATATCAGTCATTGTCTTAGCAAATTTGTTGCCAATCTCAAACATGATTTGCCTGTTGATCAGAATATTTAGGAAGTCATCCTTGAAAATTTTTGGCCTTTTCTTAAACATATATATTGATCAGCTGGGTTTATTTTTGTTGATTTGCTGTTGTGTATGTTCATCTTGCAACCTTGGTTGATCTAGATTGGAGGTTCATTCAGTAATTCAAAATTTCCAAATCATACCAAGCAACCAAAAAATTAAAAAAGAATAAGAAAGAAAAACAGGAAGGGTAGTCTGACTGCCCATCTTTGATTAGGGCTGTTGGTGGATGTTGCTGAAGCTTGGAACTCAAATAATCCTATATAGTGCTTGAACTGGTGTAATTTTCTGTTAATGGAGTTAAATTCACAAATAGAACTTTATGGAAGGATGCAAATACACTGATAAAAAAAAAAAAAAAAAAAATGGACCTGACCTGTGAATCTGTGATCACCAAAAAACAGTGGTTCTTGATTTAATTTTGTGACCTGGAATGGTTGGAACTTGATTATGTCTGAACCCGGTAAATTTTGAGTGAGACCATGAAACCTGGGCCAAAATCATTATATCTGTAATAGTGATGATATTATGAGAATTTTGTTTTGTTATGGCTATAAATGATTATGTTTGTTGTAATTTTGTATTTGATCTGTATATTTTGTTTATTTTATTTAACCTTGGGTATATGTATCATATTTTAAAATGGGGTAAGAATGGTAGTTTTTTAATCCCTCAATTAGTTGGGTCTTTTCGAAGATTTCGAACATGAATTCGTTACAGAAATAGATGCAAGTGATGGTACTTGAAATTGGCGTCTTAGTGTTTTGGAATGTCAACCATGTAGTATATACATATACATGCTGAGTAGTTAACAAGTGTCACCCTAAGATATTTTTGCCCGCCAATTCCTTTGCTTGGCTGTATATAAATGAACACATATTTGCTGCTATTGATGGCTGGTCTTTGACTGTGTGAAGTGGTTATCTATTATTTTTTCAGGCATATCTCTGCTTAAGGTTGGAGGAAGAATGGTTTACTCTACTTGCTCTATGAATCCAGTGGAAAATGAGGCTGTGGTAGCAGAGGTAAATCTCACTCCTCAAATACTCAACAATTTAAACTTTGGTTGGGTTGCTGCTTTGATTGACGTGTGTGTGTGTGTGGGGGGGGGGGGGGGGGGGGGGGAGGTATAAACAATTTATTTGCATGCACTGGAAAAATTCCAGCCATGGGTCTGTAGTATAACAATGGAGAGTGGGTTAATAAAATTTTCTGTTAGGAAAACATAAAGAAGCAACTATATATGGAAAATTGGAAATAGACATTTGAGTAGTTTTGTATGAAGGAACATGTGGCTTTATCTTGCACTGGAAGCCAAAGGATTAACTATGTTATGTATTGGGTGGCTATTTTCTTGGTTTACTTTTGTTGTGGGTTTCTTGTATAATTAACCCATCTGTACTTCTATTTCTTGATATCTCTTGTTCAGATCCTGCGGAGGTGTGGAGACTCACTTGAGCTCCTTGATGTCTCCAATGAACTTCCTCTGTTAGTTCGTCGTCCTGGTCTTAAGAAATGGAAGGTAAGCAAGTAAATACACATCTTTTGTGATGATTTTTCATGTTCAAGTAAAGACATAGTAGCATTGACTTGCAGGTCCGAGACAAAGGCCTTTGGCTATCATCATACAAGGATGTTCCTAAATATCGTAGACCTAGTATTCTTTCCAGCATGTTTCCATCGGGAAGAAATATAGTTGATTCATCTGAGAATAGTGGTGATCATGGAGTAGCAGAAGCAAAGGAAGATGATAAGAATGAGGTTGTGCAGCCAAACACTGCACCACTTTCTGAAGTTAATGATGATGAAATTTCTACTCTTCCTCTGGAACGTTGCATGAGAATTGTGCCTCATGACCAGAATTGTGGCGCCTTCTTTATTGCAGTCTTTCATAAGCATTCTCCCTTTCCAGGTAACTCGACGCCAGACTGACTTTCATAAGCATTGCTGTGAGATAGTTTCACTATCCACTGTGCAGCTGTTGAATTCTAGTTACATGATAATTGAAGACCAAAGGAATTGTGTATTGATTAATGTTAAGGCTTTTGAAATTATTGCAGTTGTTCAAGAGAAAAATGGTGAAAATGCCCAGTTGCTTCATAAAAGTGAAGAATCTGCTGAAGGAGCTGGAGAAACAGCAAGCAATTTGAATGATGTTTCGGAAGCAAAGTTATGTGAAGTAACTTCTATAGACAATGCAGAGACGGATGCAGGTTCTTTGGCCAATGTGCCCAGCCCAAAATTGGAAGAGGAAGTAGCTGAGGATCAACTAGGCCTTGATAAAGAAGAAACTAGTCCAAAGAATGTTGGGAAAAAGAGGAAGCTACAAACGCAGGGTAAATGGAAAGGTGTTGACCCTGTGATATTATTTAAAGATGAAACTGTAATCAACAGTATCAAAGCTTTTTATGGAATAGATGACTCTTTCCCCCTCTATGGTCATGTTGTCACAAGAAACAATGATACTGACAGTGTGAAAAGAATCTACTACATATCAAAATCAGTTAAGGAGGTTTTGGAATTGAATCTTCTTGTTGGGCAGCAACTCAAGATAGCTTCCGTTGGCTTGAAGATGTTTGTAAGTATCTCATATCCGTTTTCTTCCTCACGTTCTGTCATTATTGCTCAAAGTTGTGAAATTAAATCTTTTATTCCTGGAATCCTGTGTGATTTTATTGTACTTTTGTTGAAATTGCTGTAAGCCATATTGAAGTATATGTATTCATATACATGTAATATTTTCATCTTTTGTGTATGAAGGGCTGACTGGGGAAGGGTTGTGGGAGAGTCATATACTTCATCAGAATATCACTAATCATTTTATCTACTACCTCGGTGAATTATTATGTGCAACAAAGGGGTATTATTTGTGAGACATAAAATATTCCTTTGTTGCACATAATAATTAACTGAGGTAGTATTATTTCAATTATGTATGCTAATTTAATCAAGAGAGAGACATTTATTATCTGCATGATTTCCTTGGTGAAAAATTTAGAGAGGCATCTACTAATTTTGAGAGTTGTATAATCTTAGTCTTTGTATTCTCTGCTATGAATCACAGGAGCGGCAGACTTCTAAGGATGGTAATGCCACAGAATGTAGGTATCGTATATCATCTGAAGGATTGCCCGTGTTGCTCCCTTACATAACCAAGCAAATACTCCTCGCACCAATTGTTGATTTCAAGCACCTCTTACAATACAAGTCCATCAAATTTGGTGATTTGGTTGATGCTGAACTGGTTGAGACGGCATCAAAACTAGAACTGGGATGTTGTGTTGTAGTTTTGAAAGAAGGTTTGTCAATACTACTCTCATCATGGACAATTAAATCAGCCATTGCTTATAAAACCACTTATATTCTTTTCATGCTATTCCTTGCAGCTGACCAGGTTTCATCTCTTCCTATCCAAGTCAATTCATCGACGATAGCAATTGGTTGCTGGAGGGGGAGGTCCAACTTAAATGTGATGGTGACAGGACTCGACTGTAAAGATCTGCTTGAAAGACTTGAGAAACGCATGGAAACTGGTAATGCTGAGATAGCCGAACCCAAATGACACTGACATGAAGGAAGCAAGCAAGAACGACGTTGACATGAAGGATGAAGAAACTGTTAACATGGTAGGGTTATAGTTTAACAATACTCTCTTTTCTTTACCTGCCGTATTCTTTACTTCAAACAATAGGGAGGAATTACAATTTTGTGATGTTGTATCTTATCTCTTGTACTACATTCAAACATCTAGTTTTGCAATCCGAAGAGTGTTTTCTGCTTATCTTTATATACCATGTACATGCAACACTATTTTACACTTGCGAGTCCTTAAATCGAGATAAGGTGGAAGATATGAAATGGATCCCTGTTAGATTGTCTCGGCCACTGTCGTGTTTGATCTAGCTGTGCATGGCTGCTGTGTTTGCTTGAATTTTATGCCCTGATTTGTGAAGCTAAACCCAGAAAGGGACAGATGCATAATTGCGTGCTAGATCTGCACCTCCATGTGGTCCTGTGACTAACAGTTGGTGTTCAATAATCAAGTCTGTCAATCTGAGTACTTACTTTGCTCATAATTGACGGCCTTGTTTTGCATTTTTGTGGCTAATATATGCCTTTTGACCATTCGAATCGTATGCTTTGTATCTTACTCCGTATATAATGTAATGGATGAAATAATAGTGATGTCATTTATAATCTTATATCGGATTTTTTTGTCCAAGTTTGATAAGGCTGTATATTAATTGTATTGAAGCACTTAATAAGCTACTAGCCTAGTAATTAAAGTTCCAAGTGATAGATAGGGAGAGTGAGGAAAATGATGAACGTTGTTCAAGGGTAGTAACACGAATTAAGAAGGTAAAAGTGAAATTATTACATGGATTACAAGAAGCAACATGTAATTATGCTACGTACTTTGTATGTATCGAGGAGTAGGATGTATTTTTCAATCTATATAGTTAAATGATTTGTGAGAGTGCAAGATGGCTCAAGTGGTTAAAGCTCCCATTCCGATTCCAAGAGATTTTGGGATCGATTCTCATCACCCTGCCTTTATGGCTCTCTAAAGAAAAACAAAAAAAAAAAAAAAAAAAAAAAAAAAAAAAAAAAAAAAAAATTGATTTGTAAAACATAAAATTTATACAGGTTATATTACTGTGTTGCTATTCAGGAAATACAGCTCATTACTGTTTGATGTTTAAGCATTTACAGAATGATAATGAGTTTGCTTGTTAGAGTCACCTTTCCTATTAGCACATTTTAATTTTATCAAATAAACAATTAATCTTAACCAAATTTTCAAATTGCTATCATTATTTCTTATTGGGTGGGGAATGGGGATTGTCTTTTGATGGAGATATCAAAATGTGGAGCCATATTTCCTTCTCTTTTAATGAAAATAAGACAAATAATAATTACTCATGAACACGTATGAATCTCAAATGTAGCTATATCAAACACTTCTTTAACGTTAATTTTTCTTTTCGGAGATAAAATACTTCTATCAAGGGTTCATTAGGTATCGTTGTCACTTTTAAATTTTAAAAGTCATCTACTATAAATTGTACATAATTTAATACTTGTATGTACAATGAATTAATAATCATTTAAACTTAGATTAATCGAGTTGATTATGTAAACTAACAACCGAAAACAAAAACCAACAACGAATGTGCCCAAAAAGTTAAGACATCGTTTTGTAAAAGCCAAAGGGCGGTTTTGAGAAAACAAATACGTAGTAATTGTAACATGACAAACTTAACCAACCTTCAAATAATCAAATCTATTGATATAGTTAAACACAAGGATAAAAAATGTGTAACATTTAGGGCGCCATACTATATCACACATTAGATCAACTAGCTGTACCTCCTTCCAAACAAGCTAACCGACAGATTTTTACAAACCAAATTTAGCAACCAAAAACCCCTCCCCAATCTCATCATCCCCAATCTCTATCCTCAAATACAGTACAATGTTTAAGAGAAAACCAATAATGAAAGAGTTGACCAACATACGACCAAAATTGCAAACGACTTTACGAACTACAACACATTCCTTTCTTTTCAGAGATTACTTGACCAGGACCGGGAACTAAGATCGACTTCCCAGCTGCTGGTGCAGGGTTGCCGTTAGTTTGTTCATCACTGGCAGCCAATGTCTTCTTGTTTACAATGCTGAATATCTCGTTTAAGACAGTATTAAAAGCTGTTTCCACATTTGTTGAATCTAAAGCTGAGGTCTCTAGGAAGAAAAGCCCTTCTTTCTCTGCAAACTCTTTGGCATCTTCAGTTGCAACTGCACGCTGATCCTCAAGATCAATTTTGTTCCCAACAAGCATGATGACTATGTTCTTGTCAGCATGGCCGCGCAACTCTTCCAGCCACCTTGGTATGTGCTCAAAGGTTTGGCGCTTTGTTATATCATAAACTAATAATGCACCGACTGCTCCCCTATAATATGCACTTGTGACAGCTCTGTACCTGTTGCCATTTCAAACTTGTGTCAGGAAGGAATTAATCAAATTATACCATATTTTAATTGCAACAAAAACACTTTCCTGGCATAAATGATAAGGAGTAAAACTTTTTTCAATAATGTGGGAAGATCTAGCTCATTCAGATAAGGTCAATCCCGTGTATTTCTCAGATAGCAGTCCTACTATACCTTAAAAGTTCCAGCCGAATTGTTCCCAGTATTTATTTGCAAAGAGGCGAAAAAATTGTTGTTTATGTTAGATTCCGAGCTCAAAAGGTATAGCTAATTCAGGGAAAACAAAATGCTAGATAATGTGGTCATGTGGACATTAAGTAGGCGTTATCAGTTCTTTCTAATTTGTGGGAATAACAGAGCAGGAGACGGAGACATTTTGGTGATTATAAAGGAAATTATTCCATCCTACTCCAAGAGCATCACAGATCCATACTTGATAATTAGTGAACCTTGTGTGAGGTTCCAAGAGCATCACAGATCCATACTTACTAATTAGTGAACCTTGTGTGAGGTTCATGACTCAATGCCTAATTACATGGTTGTAAACTCACACGAAGCAGTTTACAGATCAATTTCTGGTTACAGGGTCACAAACTCACATGGAGCGTCCGCATTGCTAGAAGGTTGAATGCAAGGTAGATTTGCTAGATTGAAGATCTAACACAAAATCATGGTATTGTCGACATGTAAAGCTACAACACAAGGCATATGAAAGAAGAAGCTATGCTACCCTCTACTAATGACCACCTAGTCAATCATCTACTAGCATAACATGATCAGATGATAAAGCAAATCAAGTAGGTGGATGATTTAAATGATGTTCGAAGCAATGCCGACACTGCGACACACACTAATGCCCATTTTAGCCTTAAACCAATTCCTAACCGATCCCAATTAATCTCTATTATGTAAGCCTACACATAAGTAGTTTGTAATCCACCTAAATTTCCGGAACTTACATACACATACTCAGTTCAAATAATACTTGTACATGATTTTTAATTTAAAACACGCATCGCGTGATCTACTCCATACACAGAAGTGACAGAACAACATCTAACTAAAAGTAAGTTTCTAATAGACTAAAATAACACAAACTCAAAATTCAAATTTCCCAGCAATTGAACTCAAAACCATCTCAAATTCTCTCTCCTATACTTCAAAACACCAATCCAACTACTTAATATCACTATCAATAGCATTAATCAATTTAACAAGCAACAAATCACCTTACTAGCAAGCGAAAGGACAATTATATGCCAGATCAACTTATCACATCATTAATATATTAATCAAACTCCTAAAATCTTGAACTAATCGCACCATTACTTATTAATATAACACCTAAAATCTTGAACCAATCACAACATTAATTACTCAATCAAATACCCATCAAAAACAGTAAACATTAAAAATAAAATTTATAAAAATAGGAGAAAGAAAAAGGAAGTAGGAAAATACCGTTCTTGGCCAGCAGTATCCCAGATCTGGGCTTTAACACTCTTGTGCTGAATAACGAGGGTTCGAGTCTGAAACTCAACACCAATTGTTGCTTTTGAATCCAAACTAAATTCATCTCTTGCAAATCTAGCCAATATCTGAGACTTACCCACTGCTGAATCACCAATTAACACCACTTTGAACACATAGTCCACCTTTTGACTCGCATCTCCATAACCCGCCATTGTTGCTCCTCGAAAAAGCTTGAGATTAAGCTGCTGATTCTGCTATTTGGTTCTTGAAAACCCTAAAAAATTGAAGGTAGATTTTGGGGTAAAAGGGAGAAAATGGTTTTGAATTTTGTTTAAAAAGGGGTTTGAGGAAGAAAGTGTGAATTGATTTGGGAAGATTTTGGAAGGGGTGTGAAAAAGGGAGAAGAATGAAAGTGAATGTTTTTCTTGGGATTTTATAATAACGTTTTATATGGTGAAAAAGAATATACTGTGATTTTTTGAAAAGGGGAAAGTTAATGGGTTTTGAGTAAATTAGAGGGATAATCAATTTTCAAGTAGAAAAGATAATTAATGTGGGACACAGCTTTTCATTGGTTGTACATTGATAATTTTTTATTTTGCACTATGTTATTGGGAAACACAAATTTGTACTCCCTCCATTTCCGAAAGTTACTTTGCAATTACACGGTATTTAGTAAGCATCTTTGACCATGGTGTAAGTGAAATTTGTAAAAAGTTGATATTTGGATTATTTATAATAAGGGAAATCTAATATGATATCAAATGCTAATTTATTTATATTGTATAGCTCATAAAATGTGGTCAAAATTATTTTATTTTGACCACATGGATAGTAAGTGAGTCAAACTTTCAGAAACGGAGATAATATTTCAAATTGCAGATATAATCACTCAATTTTATTTTGTTTTTAAAATTGATTTGTAGGTTGAATTGTTATTTTTACCGTACTTTTTTTTTATTTTTGATTTGGGCTTGGGTTAGACTGGGCATTTTCATTTTTTATTGAAAGAAGTTTTATTTTTGCCCCTTTTAACTTTTCACGCTTTTCAAGATGTGCCTTATAATATAGGAAGTATATTACATCATTTTCATATGTGTAAAGATTATAAAAATTTGATATTAATATTTCCTTCGTTTATTTTTAGTTGCACCACTTTCCTAAGACGGAAGTTTTAAATTAGTTGCATCACTTCTTTTTTAATCAATAAACTCTCTCTATCTCTCTCCTATCACATGGGTCCATTTTTTTTTTTTTATATCTCTCATCTCCAAAAATTATCCTTTTTTTATTAGACACTCAAAATTACCTAAGAGTTCACAATTTGCAAAGAGATGCAACTAAATAAAACAGAGAGAGTAAAACATAATGAGACGAATCTAACAAAACGCCACATGACTACATTATCTCTTACTGTATTGATTAATGAGAATTTATAATCAAAGTTTTTAAAGTTTGATCAATTTAATGGGGCAAATATATATATAGGAACAGAGGGAGTATAAATTAACATCCGCCAAAGTAGTGCGGAGTGTAGTACTCCCTATGTCCCATAATACTTGACATGTTTACCATTTTTGTCCGTCCCAAAATACTTGACACGTTACTAAATATAGAATGAGACCACTAATAAAAAAATATTTTCTTACAATATAAAAAAAATACTAAATAAATCCTACATTTTCTCTCTCTTCACTACCCCCATCTCCCTCTCTTTTTGTTTTCTTACAATATAAAAATTCAAAAGAGAATCCTTTATATAATAAACAAATGTTTTAAATGGACCTGATTGTAATTTTTTTAAACTCGTGTCCACCCCAACATCCCAAGTATTATGGGACGGATGGAATACTTTGCCGGAAATAGGAATTATCTCCCATCTTTTCTGCAAAGTATTGTACGAGTACTCCATATTTTTCTTCTTGACTCGCTCCAAACTACAAATTTCAAACTATTGATGTGTAATAATCTCTTTCTCTTGTCATCTCTCATTTAAATAGAAAATTAGTGCTTAGTCTGGGCGATGTCACGGGTCATACGTTATAATTTTCATGTATTATAATTTTCATGTATTATACGTATGTAGATAAATTTGATAGGCCTTTCGTCCCCAGGAGATATGAGGTAATAGTTACATTGAATACATATTGAGTTTATTCTTTGAGTATCTTACTACCTTTGTTACATATTATTTGCAACGATTAAACATATTCTACTCATATTTTATGTCAAATCGCGGCAAATAATATGACATAGAGGTAGTACCTTTTTAAATAAAATAAAAAAAAAATAAAAAAAAATTGAACCTTGTGCTTTTCACTTACATAATATTATATTTTTTACATATTGATAACGTGATTGATAATTGGCTTAGATAGTTAAATGGCCATCCTTGCTATAAAAGAGGGTATATGTAACACATGAACGCCTTTTAATAGATTAGTATAGATACTAGAGATCCATATATCATTTACCTGTATTAATTATGTAATTGCTTATATATATCCCTTAAGGCTACATAAATCATTTACCCATATTTTAGGAAGTCTATTAAGTACATATATATATATAACCCTTAAGATTACATATATCATTTACCCATATTAACCATCAAAGTTATATGCTACGGAGTAACAAACAAAGAACTATAAAAAATGGAGAAAGTATTGACAAGATGACAAATTTACCAGAGAATATAGAGTGATGAAAGGACTTAGTCATTAGTTGTTGTTTCGGCAAAAAATGAGCTAATCGGGCCTTCGAGGGGTGTTTGAGAACCTCGAATTTGGGCCTTGAATGGACCTGCAAAATGAACCCCGAGCCCCGGGGGTTGAACCCGGGGCGGAGCCTCCGACGCCCAAGTTAGTTGCCAAACAATGCATATTTTGAGAGGAGTTTAGGGGAGAGAGTGGAGGAGTATGGTCATCTTAGATGATAAGAGTGACCTCCTTTTACCTTATGCCCTTTGAGGGGTATTTATATGAGTACATAAGTGGGTTTATGAGCCCTAAAATTACATATGTGGATCGTTGAAGGCCATATTGATGTATTTGACTTATTTGGGGCCTTTTATACCTTTTTTATGCCCTTTGGGCTTATATGGGTAGAGTTACCCTAGACTAAAATGGGTATGACCATTTTAGGACCCAAACAATTAGCCCCCGAGACCCAATTCTATTTGAAAAAATGAGTTGGGTTTTGTTTCAATTTCCCAAATAATTTGTTCATAGAAATTGAGTCGAAGGACTTTATTTGTTCAGGTTTATGCAGGGCAACACTCTTGATCCGAGGATTGTAAGAGTTATTACTCTTGATCCGAGGACTGAAAGTGTTCATCCGAGGCAACACTCTTGATGCAAGGATTGAAAGAGTTAATCACTCTTGATCCGAGGATTGAAAGTGTTCATCCGAGGCAACACTCTTGATGCAAGGATTGAAAGAGTTAATTACTCTTGATCCGAGGATTGAAAGAGTTCATCCGAGGCAACACTCTTGATCCAAGGTTTGATCCGAGGACTGAAAGAGTTCATCCGAGGCAACACTCTTGATCCAAGGTTTGATCCGAGGACTGAAAGAGTTCATCCGAGGCAACACACTCTTGATCCAAGGATTGAAAGAGTTAATTACTCTTGATCCGAGGACTGAAAGAGTTCATCCGAGGCAACACTCTTGATCCAAGGTTTGATCCGAGGACTGAAAGAGTTCATCCGAGGCAACACTCTTGATCCAAGGATTGAAAGAGTTAATTACTCTTGATCCGAGGACTGAAAGAGTTTATCTGAGGCAACACTCTTGATCCAAGGATTGAAAGAGCTAATTACTCTTGATCCGAGGAATGAAAGAGTTCATACGAGGCAACACTCTTGATCCGAGGATTGTAAGAGTTTATTCTGAGGCAACACTCTTGATCCGAGGATTGTAAGAGTTTATCTGAGGCAACACTCTTGATCCAAGGATTGAAAGAGTTAATTACTCTTGATCCGAGGACTGAAAGAGTTCATCTGAGGCAACACTCTTGATCCAAGGATTGAAAGAGTTAATTACTCTTGATCCGAGGACTGAAAGAGTTCATCCGAGGCAACACTCTTGATCCAAGGTTTGATCCGAGTAATGAAAGAGTTCATACGAGGCAACACTCTTGATCCGAGGATTGTAAGAGTTTATCCTGAGGCAACACTCTTGATCCGAGGATTGTAAGAGTTTATCTGAGGCAACACTCTTGATCCGAGGATTGTAAGAGTTAATTACTCTTGATCCAAGGATAGAAAGAGTTTATTACTCTTGATCCGGGGATAGAAAGAGTTTACTCTTGATCCGAGGATAGAAAGAGTTTACCCTTGATCCGAGGATAGAAAGAGTTGTTTTTTTTTTTTTTTTTTTTTTAATCATCATCATCGTGAGGAAGATTGATGATTAATTTTATCATCGTCATCGTGAGGATAGTTGATGATATTTTTTTTTTTTGAGGAAAATATTGACTCGAAAAATTAAGAGCCATTTTTCGTTGCTGAAGCAATTTGATAGATGGGATTTGATGAAAGTGGGCCCGAAGCCATTTACTTGATAAAAGTAGTAGCCGCAGGTAAGAAAGCTTCTGGCCATCTACCCTGACAAAGGTAGTTTTTTTTTATGGCTTATAGCTCTTTGAAAATGGTCAAAAGGTAAATTTTTCTTCTGACTTGTTATCATCAGATTTGATGTAGGTTGAGGTCGGGTACAATTTGAGCCAATTGCACTTGACTGCCGAAGCTAATTGCTTTGGTTGCTCTAGCATTAGCTCGTATGAGCTTCGGCTTGGATGAACCTTCTTCGGTTCAGACAAACCATCTTCGGCAGCACCCTCGGCTCATATGGTTGTGAGCTTCGGCTGGGAGCTCGAATCTCGGCGAAGGTAAACCTCGGCTGGGATCGGCTTCGGCTATGGCTAGCCTCGGCCAGGAGATAAGAGGTGAGCTTCGGCTTGGCAATGGTTACCGACCTTAACTTGGGAGCGGTAAACTGTACCACCCTTGGTTTCTGCTGAATCACCTTCGACTCGCCCAGAACGCCTTCGTCTTGGGCTGAAACTCCTTCGGTCTCGGCTGAAAAGCCTTAGGCTTGGCTGAAACACCGGTCTCGGCTCGGCTGGCTTGCCCAGAACACCTTCGGCTTGGGCTGAAACACCTTCGGATAGCCTCGGCTCGATGAGCTTCGGATTCCTTTTGCTTATCCGAGGTATTTGCTTCGGATTTTTAGATTGGTGATAGTTTGAGCTTTTTTAAGCTTCAACAATGGTAGACAACCTCGGATCTTCTTCAGCTGCTACTTTAGATGTGATGTGAAGAGATTTGGCTCACTTCACAATACTAGCCTTGACCCCCATTGACCTCGGCATGTGTTGCCTAGGATGAAATGGTGAGTCGTTCTAGTGGTGGAGTTGTGAGCCTTGAAGCTTGTGATGAAGACAATGGCAATTTCCTTTGGCAAGCATTCAAT